CTTCTAGTAATCAAAATGAGGCCTTTTGAGAAATCCAGAGTCATCAGCCCATAATTCTAACAAAGGTGTTAATGCTGTTTTATCACATGCGCTGTCCCTATTTGCCAAGCAAAGATATTTTATTGGTGACCATATGTTTCTCTAAAATCAGGAAAAAAACTCTCAAATGATACTTTAGGAGAGCAACAAGATAGTATGGGGGAAACTAGTTAGAATGCCACAGGATCAACCCCAAAATCTTCCCTCTGACACCTGCCACATACCAGGAGAAACTCTCTCTGCCAAAACCACCAGGCAAGCCCCTGTCCTATCCTATTAAAATAATCAGAGACAAAATATTCTGATACTGGTTTAGAGTCATCATCTCTTCAGAAGAAGTCTTGTTTGCTGTGTGACACTCAGTCCCTGTTGTATCCTTATGTGAAATCACGACTAAATGTATAATAAAATTTGTAAAAAGCTAAGATAGCAGAACCAGGAGTGACTTTCTATACTAAGGACTGGATTGATTTTCTTCTTTGTTAATTGGCACCACTCAGGCAGGGGTAAGATTTTTCTATAGGTAGAAAAGTAGGTCTAATGCTCAGTACTTCTACAGACCTCATTGATGTCTCTGCTTGTTGAAAGTCCCTCCTTTTATTCATCAAAAGGGACCAAAAAACCAGACAATTCGAATCGATGGCATTGGTTCACCATGACCGATAAAACTCGGTGGTGTCATCTGACTCCACAATAACATCTTTCGACTGTGCAGCTACCAGATTTTATTACAGAGTCCTTTTCACTAAAGCTCCTTCAGTTCTAATACCTCACGAGGACAGCCAGCTGGGAACTCCAGCACTATTGTAAGGCAACTTGAATAGTGCGAGATTTGCCCAGTAATTATTACAACATCACTCACATAGACTTCTTGGCATCCGAATTTGTGACAATAGCCTACGACATTACTATTTTATGTGCCGTCTATCATCCTACAAAAGGAGCGGAGTGATGTCTACCTTCTGAAAAATAAACTCTATTTTAGGGCACCACGACACTTGAGCTCACAAAATCACTTTCAACCTTTTGAAAAAGGAAAAATAAGGCAGCGCTACAAAGAGAATCTCTCGAACAGTCTGCCTGCAGGCTTGTGGACAGTTCTGCTCATTGATTTGCAACCAATGGTTTGGAAACCGGCTACCGACTGTTTACTGAGAAAAATTCTGATTACATTTTAGGCAAGCTTTTTTATCTGCTGCCTTTTAATGTGTTAATTTACTTTACTGAAAAGCCAAAGGGCCAAATTTACCCCTCTGATAAGGCTTCTATTGTAGGAGCATCAGTGGATGTGCGCTGAAGGCGTTATTCATCCCTGGAGAGATCACCAAGTAATATTGTCAAAATAAACACTTTTGAGTTGCACATGCTTGAAGAAAAGATAAAGGGATTGTGAAGAGAATGAGAAGGAAGAGAACATCAGAGATGAAGAAAATTAGATAAAGGGCCAGGAAGAAACTGTTTGATGTAAACAGAGTGACAAGTTAGATGAAGAACTCTCATTAAAGCATGCAGTATTTGCCTATAAGCAATTCAGGCAAGGAATTTGTTTACAACTCTTTGCCAAAATCAACAGCAGATGCAAAAAATCATCAATATTGGGATTTTAAATAGTATTAAATCTACTGTATCCAAACACTCACTAGGACTACATGAAGGAAATGCACGGTTTGGTGTCATTATATTCTCTGTCACACAAGGTTAAGCCCTGTTGCATGCTGACATGCAGGCCCTGCAAAGCTACTACTGGGTATGCCACTAACTACTCCTCAGTTACTTTAGTATCCATATATCTCTAAAAATATATACTGGTGCCAGGATTTTATTGCTGGTGTGGAGAAAAATCAAACTTTGTGAGGACTGTGCAATCTCAGGTATGACTGTATGTTAGGACAGAACCTGCTGCGACTCTACCAAGTTAGGAAAACAAAATTTGGAGTTGTGCTGGAAAAATTGTGGTATCACCTTACATTGATATGCAGCAGTGCCTTTCATCAGACAGTGTCCATTAGAAATTATACAGATGCTAAATCAAAAGAAACTGCTTTTGAAGCAGATGGCAATGGTCAAGTGAATCAAAAGAACCCAGTACCTTGCCCAACAACAGTGAGGAATTAGGGTCTTGGCAAAGGCCACCAGGAGCAAAGCCTATTGTAACTGAACCAGATTTAATGAGAGCTCCTCGTTCCTCTTAGTCCCAGGTTAACATCCCCCTCTAGTGACCTCAATTTATGGTGGGAAATTTTTTCCTCAGCAGCTCGTTGGCTGATGTCCCTGTATGATTCTGTTCAGATGATGGGAATTTGAGTCACCACTTTCCTCCTGGCATGCTTACAGGTTAAAAAAATACCTGGCCTGGGAAGAACACGCAGTGAGAGTGAAGTTACACAATGTGCTGGCAGCAAAACCGTCCCAAGAAACTGAACTCCCCGCCTTTCCCCAGCCCCTCATGCTCACCCTTGTGCAGGAGTTCACTGCACAGAAGCTTCCTTTTCGTGCCAATTCCGTGATGCAAGTCAGATCATTGTTATGATCTGCGTTAAAAATAGCCCCTCCTAACCCAGCTCCACCACTAAAGCCAACAGATCGTACACTTGCACCGTAAGACACTGAGTTCCTTTGACACAGTGTTGTGCACCGAGAGAGGCAGAAAACTATGTCAGGTGCCACCTCCTCAGGCTTAAAAAGAAAACGTATGACTGGGGAGCCACAGAATTAAAGCTGTGCGGATACAACCATTCCCATGCTGCAAAGTTCTTGAAATCCACATCACACCTAAATACCAGCAGTGGGAATTCTTGTCTGTTTGTGCAGTAGCCTAAACAAAGAATTGTGGTTATCACTGGAGCTAGTTTTTAGAGACTGACATGAGGTAACTGAAGGCCTAAGGGCCCTCTCTGTTACAATTCAAAGTGAGATCACAGATGGGGATGTGAAGTGGTGGGAAACCACCAACTACAGGGGAAGCCAAAGCACCCATGTGCAAAGCCTAAGCGTCACACAGCAGCTCATGACTCATCAGTTTGATCCTCCATCGAGGGAACGGACTGCTCCTTTAGCTCAAACAAAAGGTCTCTTTCCATTTTATACCATTGCGTGGAAAGGCTTCTTGCAAAAAAGATGTGAAAAAAATGACAGAGCCTCCTGTTATTTAAAGATGACATTTGACAGGCTCAGTCCCTCAACAAAACACTGTTCAAAGCCAGCAGACTTTTTTTCACAGATTTTAAAAAAGATTAGAAAAAATGCTGGCAATTACTTACTTTAATCTCTTATCTGAAATTTCCCATACATTGGGAAGGAGACCTAAAGGCAAAAGTGAAGAAGAGAGCCTATTTCTTTTACTAATTGAAATTATACAGTCCAAATGGCACGACCTCTCCTCATGGCCTGTCCCCTATAGTCAGAAAGGGACTGACAGCTATGAGACTAGCAGATTTGATCTCATTTTCTCATTACATAATCTTTGGTTGTGCAATGCAAGAGTCTATAAAGAGTAAAAAGGAGGATCTGAACACGCACAGTATAAAACGCAACTCCTTCTTCACTTTGCTCGCATTTCAATACCCTTCTGGTGAACTACATCTAAATTCTACTACTTTGTGTGTCATTTAGGATAACATTGTATGGAACAACAGCAGAAAGACTCATTATTTCTAAAGGTATTTTACAGTGTGCTTTCAGTTGCAGCTCTTGGCTTTTGAGATGTTCAGAAGAGAAGAGGATGACTTGTTCTTTGCTTGTGTTTTGAAATGGTATTTGTTTATATATTCCAGATAAATCAGAAAAAAAGAAACAAAAAATCCACACTATTTTAAGCCATTCTGTGTCCTGCCAGTGTCTCATTTATATGCAGCATACACTAGATTTGCCTAGAAGGATTTAGCTCAGTAGCTGGCACGTTTACATTAGAGAACAACATACACAGTTTCAATTGATTTCAAGCGTTCTTACAATGGGAAATAAATATGAAAAGTGTTTGTTGCTGAAAGTTCAAAAAATGCAATCAACAAATTGTAAAATCGCAAAAGGCCAGACAAATTTAATAAAATATTTCCATTTACCTTCCTCAGCTTTACACAGCCTGTTCAAAATAATAAGATTCTCTGTAGAGAGCCTTTATCCAACTGTTTATATCACTTCATACAAAATATGTGTTTTGAATTACCACAGCAATACAAGGATATAAATTCCCAACACGCGACATGCCAAATTCAACATAAGTTACGCTTTCTTGGCATCTAGACATTTTCCTTTTCCATATTCCAAATACATTTCCATTTGAAACAAATTAAAAAGCATGTAGATGTTAAAACATAATGACAGCTTAGGATTCAAGTGACTTGTGCAACAGTATTTTGTGCTTTCTACTTCTCCATTTCCTCCTACTGCAATTAAAATTCATCATGCCCTTCTACATACACAATAGCAATGCATCAAGTTCAGTCCCCTATAGGTTTTCAACCCTCAGACTTGGCTTTATACTACACGAGATCCTTGCAAATTCAAAAAAAAAGTGCATCTTTTTTTTTTGTGATCTTTCTTTTACGTTGGATGATGTGAAGGTCTGATTAGTTGATGTAGGAATGCAACCTTGAGGTATGATTGCAGCCTCGGAATAATTCTTAAATGTAAAAAGAAATTTTTCGAGCGTGCACGCCCTTTCTGGATTTAAAAAAGACACCGTTATAATGGTGCTACTAGAGCCACGGTACAGTACATCATGGCACATCTCCATAACATAATCAAGGACATGAGATAGAACTTCTATTTACACAAACTTGATGCCACTTCCAGAAAAATATGACAGAAAAAAAAGGAAAACATTATTTCCTGAATGTCCTGAATTTTTAGAGATTCCTTTTACTTTCTCTTCAGCAATAGAGTGGTCCTCCATAACTGCATTTTCCCTGACCTGTTTAGTATGGACCGTAAGTGACACCAGGATGCTCACCCATGCCCCTTTACTCACAAGCCAGCTTGCTGTCAAAACTCGAAAGGGCAATAGCAAAGGCTTGTAGTGCACACATTGGGTAGTTGTAGTCCATGGTGAACACATCCTCAGCCACGCGGCCAAACTGCATCACTATGTAGTCAGCTGCAAGAGAGGGCATAAAAAGTGACAAAGCATTATTTTTGTTCGCAGCCCTTACTAAATAAGTATGCATTCAACATCACCCTCTGGCCCAGCTCACAAAATACAAACAAAACATGCTCACTCATCAAACTTTGCAACACTTACTCATGCAAGTGGGTGTGCTGATATCAGAGGGAGAAGCAAGGATAGCTTGAATGAGGAACAGCTGAGTGATAAAGGACTGCAAGACTTGTTACTGTCTTCAAGAAAATGACATAGATAAAAAGTGTTTTTTTCAAATAAAGGGAGAAAATTGCTTCTGTATAGAATGCTCAAGCCTTTTATATAGACCTAGTGCTGAGTTTCACATGTACTAAAACTCAGTTAATCCTATTCCTACTTAACTTCAGGCAAGTGGACAAGCAAGGATAACAGGGGAAGACCAGGCACGACTGTGATCTAGACCTAATCATGTCTCTCTGTTGTACCATGTTCAGAAATTCTTCCTCAACTTTTTTTCCCTTTTGTACTCTGCCAGCAAGAGGAAATCTCAGCCTCATTCACAGTTTGAATATTTCCTTGTAGAAGCAGGTGTAATTGTTTCACCTTATAAAATGCAGCAAATGCATACACCAATGTTTCAGACTCAGTGTTAGAGACTGGCACAGCCACTTTCACCATTTTCCAGTTGTCCCCTGCAGCTAAGCACGGCACTGGTGTAGCCCAGCGCGCTCCAGCACCTAGTGACTATGCCTGCCTAAAGTGAGTGTAAAGTGGGCAGTATCACTCCACTCGAGCACTTGGCTTTATCCCTGCTCCAACAACTGTACCTAAGCCCGAGAAAAAAGGGGACTGTACATTGTTGGCAGAAAGCAGCACATCGGTAAGGTCCTAATGATGGTGTGAAAGGCAGTCCTGACATTTTCGGGGTGTTCTGTAGAGCTAATGCTAGAAAGAGTAGTAATGGCAAAGTGGATGTGCAATGGGACCAGTCTGACTCCCACCATCTCCAGCTGGGCAGTGTTTGGGGACCAGAGTGAACAAAAAAACCCAAGGAAGAATTGTGCGATGCAAGTGCTTGAGTGGAGCAGTACTGCCCCGTGGTCCTGCTGACTGGAAGTACCACGGCCCCGACAGCAGAAACAACTCTGAACTGTTGCTCAGTTCCTAAACCGGGCAGCCACAGGAGAATACTAAGATGGCACGTAGCAGAATCACCTGTCTCCAGCATGAGAATTTAAACACCCAACTTGCATCGATGTCATGGCCACAAGGCAGAGCAGCATTAAGTCAAACCCACATGACTAAATTAAACTCACTCAGGTAACTACAGTAAGGGCAGAATCACTGTCAGGCTGTGTATGCAGTACTGTTTCTACACATTACAGACAGAGAGCTATACTTACGATCATTATCATGAATAATTTGGAAGTTTTTCACTGAGGCCTGTGTGACTCGACCATGGAAATTTAAAACATAGGACTGGGTGTCATCATTCCAGACTGGCGTTTTGTTGTGCAGCTCAATAACACTCTCTGTATTTTTGTTCTGCCATCTTGCAAGAAGCGTCTCATGTTCCTGCACACAACACAGATACACACTTCAGTTTAAACACTCTCATGAGACAAAAAATAAATTCACACAAAAAAAATCTATTCATAAATCCTAGCCCAAAGACTAAACTGTCACCTTCAACCCTCAACAGTATCATCGAATGAAACAGAGAACTCTGGAGTACCTTAATGTGAATGCGCATTTGAGTCCTTTCCACAGCTTGGTAAAGGTTAGTTGTACCTTTTCTTACCCAAATACGTTATTATTTGTAGTGCTTTTGTGAGTCACAGAACTAGTCACACATGCCATTGTTACGCAATTGTTCAAATACTGGGGTTTTTAACCTCTAAACCTTCAGAAATGCAAAAAACCAACTCTAACTGAAAAAGAATTCAAGTAATTTTTATCATTGCCTGATGGTATGACTTACATTTCGTGGTCTGATGGAAACTCTTTCATGGTCCATATTCATTCCCGGTATGATCACACTCATTTTACGAGGTCCTTTAAACCCCAAGACATTTGTTTCCTAAAAATGTGTAGAAAAGAGTTCATCACATTCTGTATTCCTAAAGTTAATTTCTTCAACAGAGAGACACAGTGACAGCCCAGGGAACTTATTTGCTAGTCAAGTCAAAATATGTCTTGAAACTCTGACCTTCACTGGCTCAGCCAAACATTCTGGCTTTGTCTTAGAAGCTCCAACAGCAGGAAAAAATGGAAATAGAGAGGCTTCCAAAACCACTCCTAGCATTTGCTGCCAGCAACCTTAATACAATTTTTTTTTAAAAATCCCCTTTGTTAAAAAACTAACCAGATTGCTTGGCTACTGCTAGATCCCAAAATAAAGTAGTTGCAATTTAAAAATCATATAATGCAGTCACACATTTTGATGAGAGACAGAATTAAATACATGGGACCAACTCCATTTATTCCAGAGCCAGCAGAAAAGCAAACAAGAAGAAGCTGCCAGTAAGAGCATCTGTTAGCAGTGCTGTGGTTTTCAAAGTCTTCAGATATGTTACGCTTCAAGATGAGCATGGTGAAAAACAAACACATTAGCATGAATGCAAATTTTTGAGCTATGAAGGCAGGGAAAGTAAAGAATAACATGGGCAGCAAAAACAAATCTGCTGAAAATACAAGTTCTTCCATTAAACATGATCTGATGCCTTTCTGACCAGCTTTTCACAAAAGTGTTCCAGTATTCCACTGTTCTCTCGAAATAGGCCTAGATTCTTATTTTTATCTGAGGCTTTCTTTTTTTCCACAGAAGAAATTGGGGCCAAGCATTTCAGTAAGTTGTTGTCTACTTTTGCAAAAGTAAAGGGTGATATTTTCTACCCCACTCAGTAAAACCTGATTGCCTATTTTAACATTAACTCCAGTAAATGAGACAGTGACACCTCCAAAAGTCCATCTCCTAATGTTTTGCACTACTTTTTTTTTTTTTTTTTTCGGCCCCATGCTTTTTTTCCCCCCTCTTTTTCCCGGGGGAAGGGTGTGGGAACCCACGAGGGGTACCCCACTCAGTAAAACCTGATTGCCTATTTTAACATTAACTCCAGTAAATGAGACAGTGACACCTCCAAAAGTCCATCTCCTAATGTTTTGCACTACTTTTTTTTTTTTTTTTTTCGGTCACATGCATTTTTTCCCCTCTACCTTTCCCAGGTGAAGGGCTGTGGACACACAGTAGGGAACCTCTGGAAGGAAATTCCCATTGGCTTTATTCCCAGCAATGTACCACAAGGTGCCAAGAACTGGATGCCCCCAGGCTCCAGCTGGTGTGGCTCTATCACTGGGACATTCAGAAGTGACATATTTAGATGTCTCTGCTTTTATATATTTAATGAAAGCGTTCTGATTTTAAGGAACAATAAACTTTAAAACTTGTCTACTTTTAGCAGCAAAAATCCACACATCTCAACTCACTGGAAACATCTGAAGACACCTGCCTAAAATTTACTCGTGAAGAAGTCTTGTCATCCACCAGACCGTCGAAATAACTTTGGTTGTTTCAGCAAACCATCTGGAGATTTTACACAACTCATTACAGATTTTCATGCATGCAAGAAAGATTCCACTGAGTTATTTTACTGAACACTCCTGCAGCAGTGCAAGTACATCTTCATAACTATATACATTAACAGGAAGACTCTACCTCTTTTCTGAATCGTGTATGTCATGGCCTTTGGCAGAGTAAACCACCGTTACCAGTGCAGTTGGAAATGTCTGCCTGGGTTTGCATCATGGCCAGACTCAAACTAAAATGACTTCCAGCAGACTTTACGAGCAGGAGAGACTCAGCACAGCAGAGGACAATTTCTAAGAAGAGATTCATGCTTATGCTTATTTTCCATTAACTACTGGCAATTTTGGTCTTCTTTGAAATGCCTTACAAGCTCTTCTTCTCATCAAGCTGCAGTTCTGCTACATACAATTAATTTAGATCCTGACTGGTTGAAGACATTGTTCAAGGCAAAATTAAATAATAGCGCTGAATCACTTCCCTCCCAACATGCTGTATTATCACTCTGAAAAACCAGGACTGTATTCTTTGGATTTACTCAGAAACACTAAAAATCAATACATCTGCCAAATGATACGAGAATGGTTTCTACTTGCACAGTACATCAGTCGCCAATTATATCAAACGTTTTATTGGCAAATACTGCCCTTTTGCTAAAAATCAAGGTACAGAATTGAAATTCTACATAGAATATATGAGGAAAACAGTAGGGACAAAAGATGAGGTTTAATTAAAAGCAGACCTTTCCAATCTACCTGCATACAAATAAAATTAATCCCCCTGCAAGGAGGAAAAAAAGCATGGCAAGCTGCAAGGCATATATCCCAACAGCTCCCCAGAGATTCAGGATTTAATTACCCCAATTTTCAGCCACTTCCCTTTCTGGACTTGATTCACACAGCTGTGCCCTGTCCTTAATATATCCTGTAGAAACCATCATTCCACAGAAAGCCCAAACCACAGAACCCACTACACTGGAGCACACCGCAGGTGATCGAGGCCCAAGTGGAAACACGTAGTTTTATTGCTTTACTGAAACCTGAGTGACACCTCAGAATATCAGCTGAGCTCCCTGCCTGCCGAATCTGACACAAACTGAACTGCGAGATGCTATGGATATAACGGAATCCAGCACAGAAAATCCTGG